CACATTAATTAAAAAAAAAATACAAATGTTCCTCATTTTTCTTCATTTTAAAAGATCAATTTTCTATTATTTGTTTTTAATTTTACGTTTTGTATTTTGGTCGTTTAACAGACCCAAGACTGTCCGGTATTTTACTTAAAGATTTCTTGACCTCTTGTGTACACTCAATAAATATATTACAGCAGACATCTGTTATATTCCACAGTTTTCACTTAGTGCTTCGTTTGTATTTTCAACAAGGTTTTAAGTAATTACAGAACAAAATTATGGTTCTCGAGTGTATATTGATAGGTCAAGAAGACGTCTAACATTATTATTATTATTATGAATATTGTAATATTATGATTATTATCAGAACAAAATATTAGGTATAATATGTGCCATTATAAATTAATGTGCTTATAAAAACCATGTAAATATTATAATTAATTTTTTTTTTTTTTTTTGTTTGTACCATCAATATATTTACTTAGTATATTTATTTTATTTGAACCGTGTATATGTATTTATATATTAATATATGAATATTGAATATATTTATATTCAAAATATAATTTGACTGCTACAAGTACGAGTGTTTTTCTCAAGTTTGTTTTATTTTAATTTTATTTTTTGTAAATTTTGTTTTCATTTTGTATGTATATTTTAGTTTTTTAAAAAATAATAAAATAATAAAATATTGATGTATATAAATTTAAGTACCGTCTACATATATATATAAATATGTTATATAAATATAACATGATATATGTATTACATATAACTATTTTTAAGCTTTTTAGAATCCCTTTTTAAATTTTTTTTTGTGATGAAAACATGTGAACAATAATAAAATATAAGTGAATTTAATATTGTTAAAATGTTCTGCTTTTAAACGTCACGCGCAGTCCATAAAACAGTTTTATTATAAACATGTTTTTATTATATAATTATTATTATATTTACTTATAAATACCTATACATTTTCCAGAGTATTATTATTATTATTATTATATATATTTTTTTTTTGTATACATGATAATTATTAATTTTGTTTCTTTCTCAATTGATTTCGCTGTTAGTCATCATTATTCTTTATTGTGCAATGCGTGGGATATTATATTAAAATAAAAAAAGAAGAAATAAATCATTACGTGTTAATAGTTGTTAAACTCTCTACCAGAAATGTTTTCCTTGACCAATACAATACTTTACTAGTAAACATAAAATGTAATATTTTTTTAATCTTCTGTAATTTTCTGTGGGCATAACTATTGTACCAAAAATACTATACAGAACAAAAATGTATTTTAGATTCTTAGTGGAGCGAAGAAGCTTATAATTTTACAAATATTTTTTTTTTTTTTTTTTTTGTTATCTGTGTGCAATTTTTCTGGCAGAAGACTTGCTCGGAGTTCTACGTGTAGCACCTTTTCTGAAGGGAAATTGGCGTGGTGAGGGTCATTTTTAGATTTTCTCAAAATTTTTCCCAGGAAATGCGAAAAACTAGTATAAAACGTGGAAAATCGGCACAACATTAAACAAATATTGCTCAAGAAAATATATAAAATCTATTTCATTATTTTACAATAAAATGACATACATATTGTTGACAAAGCATCACTATTAACTAAACTCTACTCGGAATCGTTTTTTCGTAAGCAATGGTTTATTGTTGCTTACAAGTATACATTAAATTATCTATAACAGTGGCTACATTCGTCCCCATTATCCTAGGATGTCTTTTTATGATATGTCTTTCGAGTTAGAAAAAAATAATAAGCTAACCAATAATATTATTATTTTATTAGTTTATTGTGCTAATTATATAAATAATAGTCAACTAAGTAATATATGATTGTTATGTTAAGTGCAGGCAACATTTCATTAATTCAGAAATAGAATACAAAGTGTTTGATCAAATATGAAATGTTTTGTTGTGTTATTTAGAGCTTTTTTTGATGTTAATAGATGTTTGTTTTGTTTTTTTTTTTTTTTATTTGATTTGATGGTTTATTAGCCTGATTGATTCTAAGGATTCAAATGTAGTCAACTTATACGACAGGTACATGCGGGTCATGTCAACGTGTAAGAAGTAAACGAACATCAGTGCGAGTGTGCGATTGCGATTCAGTGTGTGGCAATAACGCAGGTATAAATTAAGAACATTATACAGGATACACATCATTTGTTACGGGAAATTTCTTGGTTCTTGATCTGACAGGTGACGCTTGAAGGCGGCGGCAATGACGAGTTTTATACTAATTGTGCGATACCCATTATCATTAAAATAGTAACTTGAAATTAGAAATTTATAAAAATTAGACAATATACTTTTATTTTTATTATATTTTTCAACACGAGAATTATGTACAAATAGTATTCTGATACAAAACAATAAATAATATGTGTACATGGTAGGCGTTCATAAGTAGTAAATTAATTGGTAACTAATTTGTATAGGTTTTTTTTATTTTTTTTTTGTAACCTTGTTTTTGCTTTTGCGTTAATAGTTGGAAAAATAAGCGTGTCGTTCTCGTTTTCGTTGCAATGTAAGTAGTGAATATACACACAGCCGTATAATTGTTTTGTCACAACACGCGGAAATAGAATAATAAAATAATTGAATTTAAAAAAAGTCATCAATGTCTTTGAATACATTTCGACTATCAGTATGTTTGGGAAATGGCGTCTCAATGTGTCTAACAAGTGCAAAAAAATTGTTTTCAAGGTGAATCAAAAAAAAAAAAAACCTTTGGATTTTAAAAATGACCAGTTGCGCAGTTACTGTATCGCAACTGTTTTCTGGGTTTTTGATAAACAAACTTGACAATTTGTTTTTCGCCAATTTTTCTTCCCGGGCATCCGTTAGATTAACCCGTACGACTGGTACAGCGAAAAAATATAACGTTACCCGGCACAGCGCGGCGTGACACACCAAGCCAGGGTGGTCGTGCCGTCCGGGAGAACCGGGACTGTCGCCGGTTTTTGACCGGTCGTGCCGGTGTCCCGAAAACGAAAGGCCGGCACGTCGACACGTCGACACGGTTTCGAGAAAAATGAATATCAATAAACGTCGACATTTTCATTATCACTAATCGGTAGACAACGATAAGACTTTTACCGAACGTCCGAGATAAAACAATGACGACGAACGGCAGACGTCGTAATTCTATTGTGCGTCTGCGATACTTGTAGGCTACACTCCGCGCTTACGAGAGAAGTAAACCGTTTCGCGCGTGCCAACCAACGGCACGAGGCCCCCGTTTCCCTCCACTTTGTGCCCCGGCAAGTGCACGGGGATGCGCGGAATTGAACGCGTCTCGGTCGGGACGAGGTTTACTTCTCTCGTGGCCGCGGAGTGTAGCGTCCGAATTAGTTGTTACATGTATGTTTTGTTTTTTTTTTTCTTCTGAATTCGTATAAATCATATAAGCATCCGAGTAAGTGGAGATTCGATCACATTTTTAGTCCGGTTTTATTTGCTATTTTTTCTATTCGTCCCGGGATTTGCCGTATGAAATTATGGCGACCAGCCTACACACCGCTTCATTTGATATTTGAACCGTTTTGGATTGAGTACTCGAATAATTTCTTTTGCAAACAAATTATTATTTACACCGTTATTCATTATTTTAATGAATGTTTCGTAAGTACAAACAGATTGAATACGATTGTTTGTTGAACCATTATTTTATTCTAAGAGTTTTCAAAAACAGTTTTTAAGGTTAAAACATGCATAGAATAGTAGGAGAGACACAACGGAGAACTAAATTTAAAAATTAAAAATAACGCAAGACCAAAAACGCCGGTTATGCTGTTTTATTCGAATACAAAAACAAAACGTCGAACCTCCGAAAACAATATTGAATGCACGCAACTGGAAATCAAATGACATATACAGTACCTATAGAAAATGTAATATTTATATAATCACGGGTCGTGACTCGCGAGACTCTCTTTTCGCAATTCAATTTAGTCAATACGTCCGGCGATACTCTTACTGTCACTTTTCTCGCCCTTTTTACTGACTATTCTACTACACGATCGATATGTAGGTTTCGGTATCAAATTAATTAGGTATATACGAAAAATTACGCGTTACCGTCGATTTCTTCTACGGGTATCGGTGGTATCGCCATATATATATATATATATTTCATTATATCCATTTCATTCAGGTGGACATTCTCCCCGGGGGAACTAATAACGCGTTTCATTACAAATGTTTTAACAACAGCCGCGAAATCTCGAACCCAAAAAAAAAGGCCGCGTCTATTATTTTTAATTGATATTATTATTATCTCAAGATCTTGTCGTTCAAACGTTTGCTGTTCAAGATTTTTACAACGATCGAAAATAACATTTTAATAACGGGTTAATATTTCTCCTAGCACCCACACAGGCAGGCCGCAATTCGTACATGTTGCCAACAAACGATGCGAGTTGTCGAACGCCGAATTTCTTGACGGGTACAGTCACGGATATATCTATTTGTGGGTACAGTGCTCCCGATTTTGATAACGGTGAACTTGATAATAGCGAGAAAAAAAAAAAAAAAGGGCCACGCTAACGGACAAAATGGAGACGAAACCTCGGTTACCAATAATACAATTTGTGATTTTGAGACATTGAATTTGGGTATAATTATTTTCACTAGCTGGAATGCTAGGGGGGGGAGGAAGTTGCCCCCCCCCCACGGCCCCCTTGTGGGCACCATTACTCCTAGTTCCTACTCGCACAGTCAAAAAGTGGAACATTGCCCATCGGTGCCATAGAATTTCAAAATATCGATCCGTCGAAACTGGTTTTGTATGGTTCGTCTGAGAAGCGATAACGCTATAAATAAATGGCGACGGAAAAAATATATTCGTCTTTATCATTTATTGTAATTCTTTATTTGGTATTTCAGACTGCGGTTTTATTGTGAAAACGATAAATCGTTCACGTTTTATTGCGTCAAGTGAATACGTTTAAATCGTTTTAGGTCAGTATTCGGTGGGGTATCGCGTCGTAAAAAGATGGACGATACTGAAAAAAAACGGCCGTTGGACGACGACGACGACGACGACCGGTCCAACAAACGGAGAAAATACGATTGCGATGACCCATTGCAGTTTCCGCCCGACGACAACATACCGAAAGTAATCGACGAAAAAAAATGGAATTCGTTGCCCGGCATTGTTTACGAATTGCTCTCGTTGTTCAAAAAAGGGGACAAAACCAACGACACTACTATCGCCGATGAAGACGATGAAGACGACGACGACAAAACAAAACATGTGAGTATTTATTAATTCAACGGTTTTTTTTTTTTTTTATATATACGTTGATGATAACGGACCGTAGTAATTATTCTTTAATTAGGGATTTCTTCAGTGTGTATACATTTTTATTTTAGGCTAATGAGTTTATTGTCGATTCGTGCGGGTAAAAGACGGATAGCTAAAGTACCTATAGAGCACCATATTTTATGAACCATTATGTACCTACTCTATTTTCATATACTGTTACATGTAATGTACACTTAGAACGGCTGCAATTACTAAGAACTGTACATTTCGATTCACTTTTACTAAAATAGTAATTCACTGATAAAAAAACTATAGTGTTGTTTGTTAAGGCAATAAGTAATTAGCTACTGATGTTTTTTTAAACAAAGGGAAATTTAGTAAACAGATAATATTTGTTATCAAAATGGTTGGGTAGGTACTGTCTAACTGCTAAATTAATCAGATTGCCAATTAGATTGATAGATTGTCCATTTACCCCTACTAATGGAATAGCTTTTTAACTAGATGAAAAGATATATCCAAAGACAGTAGAATTTAATCAAATTTTTTGTTCCTAAATGGCCCATCCAATCCTCCACCTGGATGCATCTTTAATGCTAACAGTTCGGCTAATATATTTTTCTGAAATAAAACCCTTTTATAATAACTTTTCATTTTTATCCTTAATGAATTCGGTGTGCTAATATTTCATTACTATACCTAACCTTATAAATATATCCGTATAGTTATTCATGTTGATTTGCTTAAGCCATTTTTTAATATTTATAAAATAGAAATTATTTACTCGCTAGCTACGTATACATAGGTACATCCAGTGACGTAACTAAGGGGGGTGATGTGGGTGGTTTATCACGTCCCAAAACATTTTTTTTCTACATTAAATAATCACTAACTTTTATTTTTTAAGTGCTATTAAAACTTATTGAGTGTATATGTTCTTCTTGTTATTAATAAGTAATAAATAAATAAAACCTAACTGTAAAGTTATTTAAATTATTTGCATATTAAAGTAACTCAAAATTGATTTTTTGGACTTTTTTTTTTCATTCGGTATCTAATTAGAACTAGGTAACTAATATATTTTTTGATATTTATGAGCTATTTGAGCAAAAACTCCAAGGAGCTATTTCTTTGGCAGTAATTGAAAAATTGCAGTCTTGGACGCTAATTGCCAAACATAACACATCAAAATGCATTCACGGAGACAATCTCCCAAGTTATGTTTGAAAGTTAATTGCATTGATGGATATGTATGGAGATATCAAGATTATTTTTCAAAGGTAAAATGTGATGTTTATGTATCCATAAGGAGAGATAAATTTTTCCACTATGTCTTCCAAGCCAACCAATATTATTTAGTTCTGATTTCACCAAAAACTTCTTTTTGTTATTGCATATCAAAAAAAAAATAGTACAAAAAGTAAATTTTGAGTTACTTTAATATGCAAATGATTGAAATAACTTTACAATTAGGTTTTATGTAGTTTATTAATAATAACATAAAAAGTAAGTACATTAGGTGAATTCTGATTCAACCAAAATGTTGGGTATATAATTACCATAATTTCTGAAAAAAATTCCAAGAATATACATTTTTGGTATTTTAAACTCAAAAACACAATTTTTAGAAAACCCGAGCATTTTGAAGTTTTTTTTACTATAACTTCCACATTTAGTTTAAATGACTATTTTTGAAGGTGCCATAAAAATAAGCATGCAAAAACACATATTTTGGAAAAAAATTTCAAAAAGTTGCTTGGTAGGTAAACTGCATTTGTTCCAACTTCTACATATTTATTAACTAGTCATTAACACTTAAGAAGCATAATAACTACCATAGTCTATAGGTATCTAATCTAATTTTTGTTTGACTTTTTCAATTGGGTAAACAATCTTACGAAACTAGTCTGGTGAACAAAAATATTACTGGCCAATGTGGGACTAATAAACACACTACACATGTGGATAGATGTAAAAAAGTTTTTTTTTAATTAAGTTTTTACTTAATTTGAATTTATAGAGAAAGAGTAGTTATAATCTTTATGAAGTTAAAACAAGACTTATATTATATTATCAATTTTATTCAAAAGTATCACCAGAATCATGTAGATTAATTTGTACAACAATGCTTCTATTATTAGCTCACATTCTAAACAGTGTTTTTTAATGGTGCTCTAATATCCCTTATTGTTTTGAAAAATTAAAAAACACTAGAATAATTATAGATTGTACAGAAATTGTTTTACTAAAACCGAAATGTTTAGCATGTCGCATAAAGATATAAAAATATAGTAATTACAAATAAAATATTTGATTGGTATATCACCAGGTGGCTTAGTAACATTTATTAGTTAACCATGTGGGGTGGGAGAGCCTCAGATAAAACAATTTTTGAACAAAGTAGAATTATAGAAATGATAAAAATATCTGATGTCATGGTGGATAAGGGATTTTTATTAGATGACTTCTGTGTTGAAAAAGGTATTGAACTATTAAACAAAGATATAGCTAGTGCATCGGTACATATTGAAAAACAAAATCAACAAATAAATGTTTTTAAGATTTTTCAAAATTAATTTATATGGTCAAATACATAGTCATCTAGCAAATAATATGATTATTATAGGTGGTGTATGTAATTTATCTTCTCCTATTTTTGCTAATGATAAATTTTGTTTGACTTAATTATAAGATATAAAAGTATAAAATAAATGTATTTAATGTTATAAGCAAATTATATTGTACTTTTATTTTGATAACTTACAAATTTGATGTAATAATTTTAAATAATAAACAATTTCTAATATTTCTAATTTGTTTTTACAATATTCATAATCAAATAAATATTTATAACAATGTATTTATGTTGAAAACTATCAAAAACAACAAAATCAAAATTTTGTAGGTTTAATAAAACTAAACCAAGTTGGACTTGAGCATAGTAAGCATCCTTTTTACTCAAACTTAATGTGCCATAAATAAGTACTAACTAATTAATAGTAATAATAATAATAGTCTTATTTTATTTTTTTTCGGTCGTCAATTTTGTTAATTGTATTTATGTGTATGTACAGATTTTAAGTCAATTTTATAATAATTAAAAAATAAATACACTTTAGTTAAATTTAATACTTTTTGTTTAGACAAACTATTTTCTTGGTGTTGAAGAAAAAAATGTTTTGCCAAATCAAAATCAAGAAGTAAACAAACTATTGAATACTACCACTGAAAATAATAATGATAATCCAATACAGAATTGTGTTAAACCTCAAAATACTATAGAACTGAATACAGAACTAGACTCTGCTATAAAAAATTATTCCCAAAATTTGGAAAAATTAGATTATATGATTAATGGGACAGTTACTGTATTTGAGCATACCAAGTCTACACCAGTTGAAAATATCGAAAAAAATATTGTTGAAAAGGTAATTTTTATTTGCATATAGAAACATAGAAGTTTGTCATGTCTGGCATAGGGTAATTATTATAGTTATTGTTATAGATTTCATTTTCCACTATTATATTTTAATTTTAATATTTCTATATCACTAAAGTATTTTTTTTTTTAACATATCTTAATATTCCTTGATTATAATAGTTCGGATTAGTATTTTGTTAAAACATTCGAAACATGATGAATTTTATGAATTATCCGCATAAAAAAACTTATTCTTATTTCTTATTGAATGAAACATGCAAAACATTATGTTATATTAATATTATATTTATAAACATAATCAGGGAAAAAAATAATGTTTTAAATAGGAACCTACTTTATTATTATTTATTAAATATACAACTATACTAACCCAAGCTAGTTTTAAATAGATATTGTATAACAATTTTCATCTTTAAAATTTATGAACATATATAACATATTTATTAATTCAAATTAAAACTATTAGAATTAGTGTTGGAATTAGGAAGACACATTCAAAGAAAAAAGTAGATAGTCTATATTTTATTATCTAACTTTTATAAATTATTGATCATTAAGATTAAAAAATGCACATTTTTAGTGTCTCTAATCCTCTTACTGGATTCCTGTTTTGTCTTCTTCCCTGGATATCCCTGAATACTGATTTAGAATCAGTTTTATAAAAACAAAAAAAATGATACACTGGTATTAAAATGAATACCTATTTATTCTGCTATTTATTTAGAAGAATATTTCTGTTGGTGTCAAAGAAGAAAAATTGAATGTTTTACCAAATCAAAATTGTGGAGGTGTTGATAACTCTTCAACTGATGTAAATAATTTAATTGGTGTTGGATCAAATAACTTAGAGGCACCTAATATTGTTAAACATAATTTGAGAAAAATAGATTGTTTTATTAATGAATCAAAAAATGTACAGATCAAAATATCTGTGGATAACAAATCTACTACTTCGAGGGAAAATTTAAAAAATAATTATATTAAAAAGGTAAATGATTTTAATTTACAAATAATAATTCAAAGTTTTTTCATTGGTGGTACACATTTATTCAACTCTGTGTTGAATGAATGGTCCACATTTTTTACTCTCATTGGACTGCATAATATTTTACTAACCGTATATACAACTATACTAACACAAGCTAGTTTTAAATAGATCTTGTATCACAATTTTCTTCTTTAAAATCTATAAACATATATAACATGTTAAAACTATAGTATTGGAATTAGAAAGGCAGACTCAAAGAAAAAGTAGATAGTCTATTTCTTCTTTTTTATAACTATTTTGGTGAATTATTATCTAACTTTTATAAATTATTGATAATTGTTCATTAAGATTTAAAACACATTTTTAGTCACCTTATTGAATTCCTGTCTTCTTCTTCCTTCTTGGATATTCCTGGATACTGATTTAAAATCAATTTTTATAACTAGGATTTGAGACATTGCACTTAAAATCCACCAAAAAAAAAAAAAATAGCAAAATGAAAATATATGATAATATAATATTGTAGTTAAAGTTTTAATTAAAAAAAAAAAGTTTTTCTAAAATTTGTTTCTTATCTTTTCTTTTTTACAAATTTGATATCAATTAAAATTGGCTGTAGACCATTTATGTCTGTGTAAACAATTTTGATGGATGCCGATTGTCCACATAAAAATGTTGTTTTTTCATGAGGATAATTAATAAAATTGGTTTACTCCATGTGTAAAAAATAGTAATTTTTTCTGTATAGGTATTCTTAATTTTGATTTTAAATTGTTTGGCCTTTGTTGTTCTATTATTTGATGGTGATTTTTTTAAAATTGAAACTGGTTATATTTACACTTGACCTTTATGACCTTTAATAAAGGTCTCTTCCAAAACTTAGAAACATAATCAAATTGATAATATTTTACACTTATATCTTGTACCAAAATTTAACATTGTCTACTAAATTTCTATTAGATCCATCATTCAATTTTGTTACTTCTTATTTATCATAATTTAAATTTATGCCAGGGATAAGGTGCCTATTATTATGGATTTTATAATATATTATAGTGTATTATAAAATCAATGATATTACCTATACTTGATAATATATAAGAAATGTGTTGCATTAATATCCCATGTTCCATTATCCAACACAATTTAAATATTTTGATATCCTACTAACCTTCCAACAAACCCATTGTTTATTTGAATTTTGGAGGGCTGGGTGGGTATTGCTCCTGGCTTTGTTTCACTATTTTTTTATATATTTATTTATTTTGTATTCATATACCTATATATATATTTCATAAATATGTATTATTATTTCTTTTTTTTTTTAATAATATTGTAAGTTTGATATATTTGACACTTATAAAAGGAAATAATTGTTTAAAAACAAAAAGTCCTCTAGTGTTATATATTTTTATATTTTTTGATATCTAATACCTTTATGACTTGTTTAAAACAATTAATTCCATTTTTAAATAATATATTTAATAACTAATGTTAAAGAGTATGTGATACACTCAGTTACTGTCTCAAATTACATGCAAACCTTGAAAATATTATCTTTTGTGTGGTTAAACTTTAATTTCAACCTAAATAACAAACATTCATGGTTCTAAGCTATGTAGCTACGTATTAGCCATGTATTAGTTATACTGAGACAGTATATGCGTGTATCGAGTCATCTAAACAAAATGTTAATGATTTTGTTTTTTTATTATTATTATTATGTATGTAGGCTAATCAAAAAGAAGATGAATCAAATAAGAAAACAAGTATTTTTGAGAAATATAGAAAAAATGTTCCTGAAAATAGCGCCCAAAATGATAATATTCTATACCCCGAAAATTTACTTAGATTACCAAAGAAAGATCACTTGTTAACTCTTTTAAAAATACAATGTTTAAATGGTATTTCAGAATCAAACCTACCTATTAGCAAACCACCCCCGTGTAACTGTGTTTTTTGTATGAAAGTAGATAATTTACCAACTGATAAATGTAAAGTAAATAATCTATACAGTTCAAAAAATGGTTCTACTTTACATCACAATTATGAAAATTCTTCAGTAATACATTCTGATATGTATAACTCTAATCTTACAGCTTCTGACTGTTCTATTTGTGCATCTCAGGGTATTTTTACTACAAACAATTGTTTTTGTGCAAACCAATCGTCTTCTAAAAAGCCTTCAGATATAAAACCACTTATTACTCCTAAAAACATTTGGGTTAATAATTTAAAACATTTGATAAGAAAAAATGAGGAGACATTCAAAGTTTTTGAAACTACCAATAAATCTTCAAAATCCTCTTTAGTCCCCCAACAAAACGCTATACAAAAAGTGTATAACACTGCGAAATTTATGATTGATGCATTGTGTAATTTTTGTAAACATTCAAAGTATTCTTGTAAATGTAATAGAAAAAATACTAAAAGAGATAATAATGACATGCCGTTCCATGGGTATCACGGGAGTTACAGAAGTAGTAGATATTAGTACACATGTATTATCATTCATATTTTGTAATATATAATATTGATTATTTATTTTGTTCGTTAATTTATGTTTTAAAATATCATATTGAATAATTGAGCAAGTTAAATGTTATGTTTCAATTTTCACATCAACATAGTTATATTAAAATTATTAATGTTTTTTTTTAGTTAAAATATTGACAAACACAACACATATCCCTTTGCTTTGTAAACAATTTAATAATAGTAGGTATATTCTATGATTCAATTGTAATTTTTTTTTAACTTATCAGATTATTTGTATTTGTATATCAACTATAATAACATTGTTAACTATTTTCATAAGCGAGAATTACTAATATATTAAATTTTGAGAGTTTTACCTGCTGAAATAAATACCTACTGTATTTAGTTTGGTACTGCGACCTTATAATATTTTTTCTGTGTGTTGTTCAAAATTATTTTAAAAAAAATTGTTGTTGAGTGTATAATTTTAAATCACAAACAGATGCAGAAATTAAAAGAATTATAATTACAGTTTATTTCCATTGTAAATATTACAATCTAGGGTTGACTTTACTTAGAAAAAAAACAATTTGTTTAATTCTATATTAATATAGTTTTGGAAAAATTAAAAATGTGTAATTTCTAATGTTCTGGACCGAGGTAACGGAATAATAATTATTATCATTTACAATTAAAATGAATAGTAATAATTTTTTTTTTTTTTTTTTCATAGTAATCTTTACACGGTACAAAATGACTGCCGGATATGTTGCGACATTGAGTGGATCGCTCGAGTTCCCGACGCCCGTTCTGCTACGTTGTCATTTCGGATTTTCGTTACGTTTTTGCGCGTCCGTCGCCACTACAACCGCGAACAATAGCATTCGGAATAGTTGTCGTGATGATCGTCGTCATCGTCGGACGGCGGTAGCGACGGACGTGACCCAGACTTCTCGTCTAGGCTGTCCAACAGCCTCGTCGCCAGGCGGCAACAGCTCCGGCAAGTCAACGGCCGATAGCTGGTATCGTTTCCGCCGGCCGCCGGCCGTTCGGTTTCCCGCTTTCCGATTCGGTTTTTCCACCAGACGTTTTCGCCGACCGCGGTCGGTTTCGCGTCGTTACTCTGAAACAACTGTGCAGCGTGTGTAATGCGCAACCGCAATGGCGCGTCCGGGAATTTTCAATGTGTGGGGGACGTAGCACGCAAGAATGGCAAAAGCTCGTCTTCGGAAAAACCGGCTCGACAATGGGAAATGGGAATTTAAAAGCCGGATCCCGGGGGGGGGGAGATAAATAATTTCTAATCGAGCTTTCCTTCGTGACTTGTCTGTAATGTTCGCATTTCGATATTAAATCGCTTATATTTTTTTCTATTTTCAAGCCAATGGGGTGGGAGGGGGAATTTAACCCCTAACCTTGCCGCTTCCACCCGTGCATTGCGTGTACGTGTACACTTACCCAACGACATAATGTTGTTCCAATTTTAAGTTTGGATTGGAGCAGAGTAGTGGTGCCTTATTAACACGCTGCGCGCCGTACCGGCCACACGAACGACACTCCACTACTGTCCCCCAACCAAAAACTTAAAAGTGAAATATCTCGTCAACGGATTGACGGAAATCTAAAATCTATTTTAACTAACACTCCATCTATTTGTGGACTTTTCGATAATCAAAAATAGGCAGTGGACTTGCGCACGAAATTGAGGGTGACGAAAAATAACGTGGGTATAAAATTGCAGAGCAGCTCGTTTCTTAAATGTTCTAGAAAACAAATTCCCGAAAATGTTAATACTTTCCGGGACAACGGCCGCTTAAATGGATCGCCCGGTACGAACGCGTAATTTTTCACCGCCGTCTTACCGGTGACGAGCCGTCGCCGTCGCTGTACCGGTACAGCTTCAGTGCATCTCGTATTTCGGCGAGTACGTCTCGGTCGTCCGGCGGAGGCCGACCGGGTCTCCGCGGCTGCTCGTCCAACAGGCCCGTCTCAGTCTCGGCGGCCGCGGCCAACAACTCGTGCAGCGGCCCGTCCGCCCGGTGACCGAGCAGCCGGTCGGCCACCGGACCCGGCCGCAGTCCGGTCACGAATTTGTCCGCGATCGCGGCCGTGCGCCGGTGCGCTCCGAAACCGCACCGGACCGCGGCCGCCTGGACCCGCTTGTACCAGTCGTACGCCCGTTCGCCGTCCGCTTGGCGGATCGCGTAGAACCGCGCCCGGTCGCGATACTCGGACGCCGCGTCGGCCGCGGAATCCCCGTGTCCCCGTGCTGGTCCTTTTTTTTCCATGAAGTCGCCGGTCTCCTGACACCGAATTTCCGATACGGCACCGTGAAAATCGCTCCCGGGTAAATAAATCTCGTCGATTCGGCACCGTTACCATGGCGAACTGTACACACGTGATGAAATCATTCCGTCGCGCAGTGGTCTGAATCGTAATTAATTTAGCTTGCCGAAATTAATTGCCATTGCATTTTAAACTGTATGATAATGTGATACGCCGAACCCATTAGTTTTGAGGACGTTGAACCGGAATTTCGCATTGGTTTATCAATTTATATGTTTCAGAGAGAAAAAAAAAAAAAACGCATATAATATAGGAGCGGGTTCTCGGCAGTCGGCAGTGTTTTGATTTTTAAACCGGCAATTACCGTTTGCCGTAAACTAAGGATGACACATTGGACATCTTGGTGAAAGACAATTTGTACGATCGTTTTCGGCCAACGGATATATATATATGCTTCAGTAGGTTATAATTTTTGTTAAATACGATGTAATACTAAATTTAAAAAAAAAAAAAAATATTATTATTATTTACTAACTTATTTTTTTGAAAACTAAAAATAGCCCTAACAGTCCTGTACTTTTACGGCTGTATGATATACTACAAACAAATATTATAACTATGCATGGAACGTTTCAAAATATTTTAGATCGTTTATTTTTATTTTGTTTTTGTTTTTATTGATTTTTAATATTTATCAAATTTTAATCATTTGCTTAAGCTATTTCAATGCACCTTAACTATCGTAGAGAATAACCAAGACTTTTATACTTCGTATTGGTAGTTTGTTTCAAGAAAGTACAATTTGATATGTTTTCAGTCGGTATAAATGAAATCTCATCAAAATTGTATAACAACGGCCTTGTGTGCATCTACTACTGTTCGTACTCTACGGTTATTTTGCTAGTAAATATTCGTTATACGTGTTCGAGAGCGAGAGGACGATATTTTATCCGGACATTACGAATTTACGTGATATTTTTATTAATTCTAATAATAATTTTTTAATATTGTACCTATTTTCTCGTTTTTTCCCACGGTTTTCCCATTATTTTTTTTTTCCGATTTATCGGGAAAACACTTGAAAAAATCGAAAAATTACCTCTCTAAAATACCTCCCCAGTTCGATTAACCTTCAGAAAAAACTCTATTATTATTTATCGGAGCAAGATTTCTGGTTGAAAAGTTGCGCAATAGATTTAAAAAAATAAACGTCTTTGTAAAACAAATCCCTTCAGAATCTAAATATTGTTTTAACATTTTGCAGACATGGTGACACATTAACCTTTCTATTCGGAGACTTTCGAGACTTCTGATGATGATGAACATTACGAAGAAAGCGAATTGGTGTTAGCTACCGAATCATTCAATATAACAATATATTGTAAATGATTTTCTAGGAATTATTTGTAATTTAAATAACTGTATGTATACGTATATTTAATGTATACTACCTGGTGTACTTAAATTTTAAAGTGTTTTTTTTTTTTTTTTTTAAAGTGTCCAAAATCTTTAGCGGAACACATTAAAATTGTAACGAATCAATTAAAAACGGGTTTAATACAAAATTCAATTCACATACCTGATGGAAGTACGGTTCGAAAAAAATACTCAAATTGCTGTTAACCCTTTGAGACATTGTAGTATTATAGTGAAACCACCCACCTACTTTTTGTTTTTTTATTTTATATGTAATATGAGTGCTAAATTTTAATATTTTCCAAGAAAAAAATGCGTGCCTCGGAGCGTTAATTTATTATTTTATTGTCCGGTTGCACCTAGCTTATTGTTATCTATTGATAAATCTAGTATTAAATATGTATATACTTAATGACAAATTATATTTTTAATATGTGTTAGATTTTCAAGTGTTGCTCATTCATTGTTTTATATTCAGGTTATTACCAGCATAGTGGTTATCAAACCGACATTTAAATTCATAATCATAAAAATTATTCGAAGGTGTATTCACCTGCCACGAATCACTCGTGAGTTTTAGAAATCTCATAAATATTTCTAAAATTATTTCTTCGACAGACATATTTGATATATCTGGTTAAGGCCATTCTAAAATGAACTATTCATTAATAATTGAAATTATTCAGATAGAAAACAAGAAAAGAACTTACGAAAATAAAAAGATATATAATATTAATTTATATCTTAGATCATATACTAATTACTAGTATTTGATCTAAGTTTAATTTAATAATAATGTTAATGGTTACCTAATGTTATCCGTTATCACCACAATAACGCAGAACATCGATACCGAAATTTAACTTTCATACATTTTTACACGGCGATAAATGGGCCTGTAATATAACTCTCGATAAAGTACATTTTTATCAACAGATAAAATTTAAAACATGATTTGTGCGACAGAATTTATTTTAACTCTAGATATATGAATATTTATTTTTTTGTAAATATTTGGTGCATTCGACGTATATGTATTGAATTTGTTAATAATAATTAACAATATCGTTATAAAATGTAGTTATAATTTTGTTTGTACTCGTGGAATACACAGGTTATTCTAAAAAATAATTTACAATAAATTATGACGTTATTGATTATTAGTGTTATTACGGAACGTAGAACAGTATGATGAAAATTCACATGGACCATTCTGCTTTCTCAAATCGCAGATTTACCGGTACCTAGCAATAAATAATATAGCAATGAAGTATCACAAAGGATCACATTCGTATGAAAAAAACTCGCAGTATTTACAAAGCTCATGTAATAACGCTAGTTGGTAACATATTATTATTTTGGTGATAATGCGTTTATAGAAGAAGAAACTGCGATTTTGGCACTAAAATTATCCTCGCAACAATTCATTATTAATAATATATTACATTAATTGCTACTGTAAAATCTGCAACTCGGGCGATGGGGCTTGTGAATTTTCACTATACTCCGCTGTCCTAATATTTGATACATTTTAAAAAATAAAAGACTACTGTTATTTACCACCTCGTGCTAATGAAACTATACTTATTTCCGCTTGAATAACACTATTATCGTTTATTGTACACACCTATTACATCCATTTTCCGAATTTAGTATTTTGGCTTTATGTTTGGTATTTCATTTCATGGATGCATTGATTAAGTTTTCTACACCTAGAGTTTTTTTCAAATGCGCAATCGCCGCGAAAATGAATAGGTGCTTATTTTATTTTTCGTCGTGTTACAAATCGAATTTGCCGCGAATATCATCTAGTTATCGTAGAACGACTACGGCAAGGTTGGCTAAACTGCATTGGTGATATTATTTGATAAGCGACGTCGCGTTCTCTCCGTGTTCTCCAACGTGCCCATCATCGTATGTAACTATCCTGAGCATCGTAAACACTTTGAAATCGTCCATTTCGTATTGGTTTTGGTCAGCGCACGACTTGAAAGGTAAGAATATTTTTACACTTGTATTTTAATGTCGAATTTCTCTTGTTGACCGAGTCTATACGCCGACAGACGCGTCGCTATTATTTACTTGTGTTCAATAGCGTTTTACGCCATCCGACCGTAACACAGTTCTCGACCACATTGTTATTAGACGTGTTTGGTCATTTTATTTTGTAGCCATTAATAATAACCGAACATTTATTATTGATTGTCAACATTTGGAATCGGCTATTGGAATATTTGTGCGTTACAAATTAGTATCGAGGTAAAATATTTTAAATATCAGTATTTGAGGTTATGTTTAAAAATTTTCAGATAGCCATGCAAATTTTTGTGAAAACTCTAACGGGTAAGACCATCACCCTTGAGGTCGAGTCTTCGGACACCATCGAAAATGTTAAAGCTAAAATCCAAGACAAGGAAGGCATCCCTCCCGACCAACAACGTTTGATCTTCGCTGGCAAGCAGCTTGAGGATGGACGTACATTGTCTGACTACAATATCCAGAAAGGTATGTATTTGTAATTACATATAATTAAATAATAAAGTTGGTTCTGGTATCATAAGAGTAATTTTTGTGATTTAATATACTTATGTAGGTACTTGAATTTGTCAATTCTAATTAGTCATAAATTAATAAGTAGGTATCTATAACATTTAGAAGGATTGCTTAATTTGTTGAACTGGGGCCACAGATTACTTTCTGAATACTACTGGTGATTTTATATCCAGTGTTTCAGTTAAAAATTGCACTCGTTATGATCCAGTTCAGTATTTTGTAGACTTGCGGCAGCAGTTAATCTATTTTGCTAATTTACTCTCTAATCTGGAAAACTTAACCAGAAATTATGAAATTTTGTATTAGTGATAGAGTTCTACCGTATTTAAATAGTTTGTTAGTTTAGAGTACTAGTACAGTACTACCTACTATTGACCTAAAGTAGTCTGTGGCCCCAGTTTAGCAAATTAGACCGATCCACTTTTAGGTAATTATAATAGAGAGGTAGTTAGTTTTTTTCCCATTTTAAGCAGTTTTAGGAAATTAAGATTTAATTACCTATATTAGGACATAGTTAATTTTTCTCTTGATCTGTTAAATAGATTCATGTCATAATTTTTAATGCATGTTATGTTATTAAAATATTTGTAAGTAATCATAATATTTAAAATCATAAACTCTTACTATTAATTTTAAATACATTTTTTTTTTTCACTTTTACCGGGATAAAAATGATTAATATTGGTAGAGAATTATTATACTATTATATACAGTAATAAGGGACAAATTATCAGACTGTGCTAAAATATGCTCTCTTTCAGATTACAGTAGATATAAGTTTAAAATGTTTAGCTTATTATGTATATAAATTTTATTTTATTTTTTAAATTTTAGAACAGTATCTAAAATGTTTGAAAATATTCTTTTTCATAAGAAACTGTATAGTTTGTGTTATTAAATTTATTATTTTAATTTTGTTTAGAATCTACATTGCATTTGGTATTACGTCTTCGTGGTGGTGTTATTGAGCCTACTCTCCGTTTGTTGGCGCAAAAGTACAACTGTGACAAGATGATCTGCCGAAAATGCTATGCTCGTCTTCACCCAAGAGCCACTAACTGCCGTAAGAAGAAGTGTGGACACACAAACAACTTGCGTCCAAAAAAGAAGTTGAAGTAAACACGTTTTACGTGTATTCCGAGGAGAATTTTCAAGTTTTTCTTGGTTTTACTTCTATCATTATACAACTGTTATATTCTATGAACATATGAAATAAACTAAAAGCGACCCCTATAAGTCTGTTATTTTTTCAGTCGGTTTTTTTGTCCATGATAAAAATTAAAATATGGTCTGAACAAATATTATATTTAACATTTTTTATTAGTTTATAGAAAAAAATGAACTAACTGATTTCTTATTAATATATTTTAGATTCTGAGCGGAACGAGGAATGTTTTGGTTTTACAATGATGTATTTTTTTTTTATGTGAACACTTTCTACCAGAATGCTTACTCCGATTATCAAGTATAGTACCTTTTTTGAAAGGAAATGTTCTTTGGGTAGTACTTTAGAAAGGTCATTCTTTGGCATTATAAGAAAAACCTGATTCTTTAGGTTATAAAAGATTAAAAATATTTTTATTTTTTTCATTGTATTTAATTTATTGTAATTTTTTTGTTAATTCAATATTTTGGTGCAGAATTTTCGGTATTCTGTGTTATTTGTATACTATGTATGCTTAGTGTTGAATTATTAATCGCACAACTACTTGTGATAATACAAATAATTGATAGAATAATAAAAGAATATGAATAATTTCTGAAAGATAAGCCTAGATAAGAATAACGTTTGTTTTTAAAATAACACTATCACAATTCAATATTAAAATAATAATTGCTAGTTGATCCTATTAGATGTGGTTATTCAAATATTCCCAGTTTTTTAAAATTTAACAATTAATTTCACATTTTTAATGATAAGAATTTCCATTAAAATTATAATAGTTCATTGACTGCATAAACTCTCGTACTCTTTTTTGTGTTTTGTAAAACCAGTCAACCTTAGTTTGCAGAATATGAGCATTTTTGTGTATAATAATAAGTATGCACAACATTCTAGTCTTAAGAGGACGTTATACCCGCATTTACTGTCAGTTCAACTACTGGTTAACATGCCAAAAATAATTAAGCAGAATAAGTAAAATTAGCTAAATTTTGATTTTATAGTAAAAGTACTAACTATGAAATTTATGGAGAACAATATATATTGTGCAGGAAATGTCATGGGGCTTTTGGTTCAAAATATACAGTTTGATATAAAAAATTAACAGAATTGTTTTCTTTTTAAATAGCTAATTTTTAAGAGTACATTATTCAAAAAACATGATAATCCTTCCAAAATATTATTCTCTATATATTTCTTAATTGATACTTTTATTCTATAATCAAAATTAAGCTAGTTTTACTTATTCTGTGTAATCATTGTTTTTGCATGTTACCCAGTATTTTGACTGAGGCAGTAGATGTGGGTTTAACGTTCACTTTATAATATCCCGTATACATTTCCCAATTATCAATCTCCACACACCATATCTGGTATTATCATAACCATCCAGGTATTCATCCTTATCAAGTGTATTATTTTATTATTTATTAATTGTACTTTGAATAAAAACCATTGTTAGTGAATTATGTTTAATGATTAATGCATACGTCATGGTCTTTGACCTGTTAAATATAATTTAGAAATCTCTGTTTATATCACTACAACCAGTGTAATAGTCAACTGCTCAGACTATAAATGGATAAGATTATATATAAATATTGACTGTTGCTTACATTTCATATTGAAAACCAAGGAGTTGTATTGTAACTGATGAAAAAACTGGTCTACAGGTGCCTGTGAATACAGGATGACAGCACAAGGACATCGTTAGTCTATAGAGGTCTGATTTTTTGAAAATCAATTTTTTCGAAAAATGTTAATTTTAAGGTAGATATTAACTATAAAATATCGGATAGATACTTTTAATTGATGTAAAAAAAAAACTTCTTTTTTTCTTTTATGTATAGATATTTTGGTAAATGGCCTGAATTTAATTAATAATTCTAATTTTAGGCGTTTACAAAAACAAACAAAATTGTAGGTACCTATGTTTATATTTAATTACAATTTATAATTCAATCTGCCCTAAAACGATTGTCGAAATCAAATGACCACCTAAATCGGTGTAAATAGCGTATTATTACTATTCGGTACCTACTAATCCAACCTCCTTCAAATTATATACCTAGTTGTTCGAATATGATCTGTTGTAGGTAAAGTACCTACACAAGAAAATCTATACGTTCGGGGGTGTGGGGTTAATATTAACTACCTATATAAGATATCAACACGTTAATTTGTTGATTTTTCTGACTAAAGAGTAAATAAATTTTAATTTGAAAATAACTGATAGGTACGTACCTAGTCGTACAATAATAATAGATAGACCTACCTACCTACAATTTCCCTCCGTGAATACACCACTGATATCAATTTACCACCATAATTTTTTATGTAATAATATTTTACTGAACGAATTAAAATATGTAGGGTAGGTACAACTTTTTTTCTAATGCAACTAGCGATGGTGCACTACATCGAAAGCAAATGATTTCCAAACACTGGCATAATTAATTAATGTCTGTATTACAGACTTATGATAATGATAACATGACGATTACCTCTAAGCCAGGCCCTGTGGCCTAATGGATAAGGCATCGGTCTCCGAAACCGGGGATTGTGGGTTCGAGTCCCACCAAGGAAGGGGGGGTACGCATGATTGATTTTTTGCTGTTTTTTTTTTACTCGGTTTTTTTCTCCCCACAGTAGGGATTCGATTTGCTTCTATTGTTAAACCGAAATACCTCGACTGACATCATACTTGGCCAACTCTAGGTGATACTCGCCAATATTCTGCAGACGCGACTTCAAATGGGACTTCCTCAAAATAACAGCCGTTTTCAAAATCGCCAAAAACCAACCGTTTCGTTTCTATAGATTTATTCCCGCTTCATTTCTTTTACTGACATAATCTACATGCCTAGGAGTATTTTTTCCCAATGGGCTTCATTTTGATACCTATCTACATAGGTACCCCTACCCTCTGTCTTAATCTTTTGGTATAACTTATCCAGTTAGGTACCCAACTATACCTACCTATGTATTTATTCCACCACATTGTACCCAACTCTATCTGTTGAATCTCCTTCCTTAATTCCCCGTTGTTTCATAGATCATAAGTCGACATAATATACTTACCTATAATATTTAAATCAAACATAATGGTTTCATTATGTAGGTCTTACCAGTGGCGTATATATAAATTAATTTGAGGGGTTATAAAAAAATCTTTCGGATTTTGATTAATTCATAGATAAAATAAATTCATAAATACACATGTGTGTCGTACCGACCATAAATTTCGGGGAGTGAGGGGGGATTCAACCCCCAAAATCCTCTCCTATATACGCCACTGACTGGCACTATATAAGCCATTTCTTGCAAAAAATAATAATACCTACCAACCTACTTAAGTATTATTATTATAATAATATAAGAACCTGTTCATTTTTCTTTTTTTCATAAAAAATGCATTAAATGTTAATTAACTTATTGTTTATTTAATAATCAAATAGCATAAATAATTGGAAAATAATGTACCTACTTGATGAATGACTAAAATATTAATCAATTTGAATACAAGTTTTGTTTTCGTTCTTCTTAATTTAAATTGATTCGCACGTTACAAACATCTGCCCCTGTGGCCTAATGGATAAGGCATCGGTCTCCTAAACCGGGGATTGTGGGTTCGAGTCCCACCAGGGGTACGGTAGAATTTTTTGCACTTTTTTTTTTGTCGTCAATTTCGTTGTTACCGTGGTTTTCGTTGTTACCGTAGTTTTCGTATATTATTTTATGAAACATTGTGGCGTAACGTTTGTCTTTTCTTTAGTATAATATTGTCTAGTAAATATTCGAATTCTGTTAACTCTATGAGTAAAGCATTTTTCATTAGTTAACATATTATTATAATATATTTTATTTTTCTAAATAAAAAAATGAATTACTTTTTGAAAGTTTTTTAGAATATCATAAAACGCTTAAATGCATTTACTTTTACATGTATATTTTGTAATAATATAAATATATTTTAAATTTTGAGCAGAGCATGGAATGTAATAGTTCTACGGTTTTTTTTTATTTGTGAACAACTTTTCTATCGGAAATTTTGGTCAGATTTTCAAGTGTAACACCTTTTCTGAAAAGAAATTTGACTGGGATGGTACTTTTTTTTATAAGTAAACAATAATCTTATGAATAGTCTACATACATAATTGATTATCTAACAACATAAGATATTTTATTATAAATTTAAAAAAAAAATCATGAGATACTTGGTTACACGGCTATATTTTCCAAAGTTTATGTTAAGTAAAATTCCCTAGGTGGTGCTTTGGGCATTTTTGATTTCATAATATTTTTTTTTATAATTAAATATACAGGTTGTCCTAATCACATTTTAATTCAAATACAATTATACTAGTTCAGTGACCTAACAGTATTATATTACTAAGTAATGTACGGTGGATATGTCATGTTATTTATTATTTCTTGTTCCTGTAAAGTACAAAATGCATTTTTTTTTTTTTTTAAAACTATTCAGGAATACTTTCAATAAAACAGATAAATACATCCAATTATGACAAGTCACTATTATATGGATACATATAAAATATAATATAATTGCACGTGCGTTGATAAATTAACAATTAAATTTGTAAGACTCAATGTTATAAAAAGTTAAATGTATTTTTTTTTAAAAATAAAATATAATATAATCATTAAATCATTCAAAATATTTTAGTGTGTGGTTATTTACAGTGAATACTTAATTTCAATTTTTTGTTCATTTTATATAATAAGAATAAAAGAAAAATTCCCTAATAATTAAACAGAAAAATAGAATTATATATAAATCTAAAAAAGGTAAAATCAAATTGAGTTAAATATTGTTACGCTATTGTTACACTAACAATGGTATTAATACTTTATGTAATCGTCAAAATTATTCAATATCCTTCGACATCTACATATAAAAACTGTCAACAATTAAAGTAAACAGGTTATGCACTTAATAAATAATAAAAAGTTTTATTCTAATTAAAAATTACCAATACAAATAGTAAGTAATTTTTTAATTATTATATAAATGTATAAATACAATACATAATTTATACACATATTCGAACAATGTAAATTACTAATGCAACAGTCATTTGTGAGTCATCTTAACATTATGTTATGTAGATACAAATGTGAGCTCATAAGGGCTAAAGTTTTCAGAATAGAAACACTAGAAAATGTCGAACCCACGATTGAGAGATGCATAAATAAACATGCTCCATTTAATCAATTTTTCAGTTGATGAAATGATGCGACAAAATCGTGTATAGTCAGACCATCAATAATTTATTGTATAAGTATTTTAGTATTAATAATTATAATTAAAAAATGGAACATAACCTAAATCATTTTTTTAAAAAAAAAAAAGGATAAAAATGACTTAAAATATTAATATTTTACAATCTTGAGTATAAACATTATTTTTCATCTGTAGTATGACATTCCAAAATATGTTCTTTCTGTGAGGATAAATATTTGAAATCCATTGAACAAGTGTTTATTTATACGGTTTGACTTGAGAATGCTCAGATTTAATATGACGTGGCAAATTAAGTTTTGTAATTATTGTATCACACCATTGACTATAAGCAGCTGGCGATTTCAAAGAATTATTTTCTGCTCTTCTTTGATTTGGATGATGAGATTTGATGGGTTTTTTTATGAGCTCATTCGGACTTGCAAGGGGTTTTGCAATATGCACATTTCAATTATATCAATCTAATTTGTGCAGTATTCTTAGTATTTGCAAGTTTGGTTCTATGTGATTTTAATCTTCAATGATTGCGTGGTAAATTAGTTTGGTTTGGTGGTGTGTTTTTAACAATGTTTTTATGATTGACTTGAACCTATGATATCTCAATAGCTTTTCACAAACACTGTAAATTATTCTTTTATATGAACTGGTTCCTGTGTTTCTTTTCTGATATAACAAATGTCTATTCAACTTAGCACTCAAATATTTTCAGCTTCATTTCTGTAACATAATATCTGAAAAAGGCCACTATGACAATAAATATATTTTTATTACATTTCATTATAAATGTAATATTACTGATTTTTTTTTATTATCATTAGAACCTGGAATGATATGCATTTGTGTTTTTGTTTTCTTTGACAGTCCAAAAAGCAACAAAAGATAAGCTACAAGTTTAAATTATAGTCAATAGAACTGAAATATAAAGTTTTATTTTGCATATTTTACGATTTTTCATTGCATACAAATAGATTTTGAATGCACATTATATAATATTTTGGTTATATTTATATTAGTTTTATCATAATATAAATAAAATGAAAATACAGAATTTTTTTTTAATACAATTTTGTTATACGCCGTTCTATTGAAAAGAATTTATGTAAAGCTCTTCACTTTGAGAAAAGGCATAAATTCAATACAAATCAATCTTTTGTATCTACTTCAAAATCAATTATTATTTGTGCATAAGTTTTTTTTTTTAAGGGGTATATTTTTACAAAAAATCATCACAAATGCATATCTCTAAGGTTTTTAGACAAGATTAATCCGGGCACAAATGATCAGTTTTTAAATATATTTATGCATTATTAATTGATAAGAAGAACTCTCTTTCCCAGCACAACTTCCGCTTTAAAAGCATAGTGCAATATTGTATTATTTTATTAAAATTATATAATTTATTCTATAATGTTCTGTTACAATAGAGTTTATAATTATTAAAACAAAACTTCTTGAGCCAATATTTTGAATTACTTGAGTTTATACTATTTATTTGTGCAATTTAAAAACATAATTTGTATATATTTAAAACTAACAAAATTACAGAAATATGCTTTACATTTTAGAATAAAACAATATCGGCAAACTTATATTTAATTTATTTAAGTCTGTAAATATGCATTAACAGAAATAATGTTGGAGATAGTATGTATTATAGGGAGAAAAAGGTTAAATAANTAGAAACTATAATTGGACTGTCAAAAAAAAAAAAAAAAAAAAAAAAAAAAAAACATGTAAATCCAGGCACTACCGATCATTTATATTTCTAATTGAAATAAAAGACTTTCATCATAATTATAAAATATTAATAATCTTTTGATATTATGTTACAGAAATTAAGCTGAAAATACTGGATTGCCAATTTCAAAAGACATTTGAAATATTAAGAAAAATACATAGGAGCAGGATCAAGTAAATAAAGAATCTACAATCTCACATAGTTGCATTGTTTGTAAAACGAATTACAACAATTGAGTGAAGCTCATTCTACATAAATACTTTAAACATAAATCCAAATAACCGTAAAAAACAGAATTTGTAATGAATCGTTCGTTCTAAACGTTCATTTAAACCAACATCTACTCAAGTCATGTAGATTATAAGAGACCCATAAAACCAGTAGCCATTCAATCGGCACCTAGAAATAATTATTCAAATGCAAGTCCTACAAAATCTAATTCGTTAAAATGTACAAATTGTACATATGAAACTAAGTACGAAGAAATATTTTTATATCACCTTACTGTTTGTAATGGTTTAATTGAGAATATTACTGACAATGATCCTAACAAATGCAATGTTTGTTTGAAAAAATTTTTATGTACAAGGTAATTAAAGAAACATAGGAGATATCATAGGTTCAAGTCGATTGTAGAAAAATTTTTAAAAACACACCACCTAACCATACTAATTTACCACGCAATCGGTGAATATTAAATTCATTTAGAACCAAACTCGCAAATACTAAGAATACTGCACAAATTAGATTGATACAATTGAAATGTGCATATTGCAAAGTATCTTGCAGATCTGGACGAGCTAAAATAAAACAAATCAAATCTCACAATCCAAATTAAAGAAGAAGACAAAAGAACTCTTTAAAGTTGCTAGCTACTAAATGTCAATAGTGTGATACATTAAATACAAAAAGTAATTTGCTAAGTCTTATAATTCCAAGCATCCTCAAGTAAAAACGTTTAAATTGACACTTTGTGCTATGAAATTTAAATATTTGTAAGTTATATTACAAATTACATACATATGCATATTAGAAAATCGTGTGTGGTCAGACCCCAATAATTTATTGTGTAACTATTTTAGTTTTATTAAATAAAATTAGAAACCGGAACTTGATAACCTAAAAAACTTAAGAGAAAAAAAAAATATATATAAAATAGACTTAAAATATTAATATCTTACATTCTTGAGTATAAACATTATTTTTCATTTGTAGTATGACATTCCAAAATATGTTCTTTCTGTGAGGATAAATATTTGAAATCCATTGAACAATGTGCACATTTAAACGGCTTTACTTGAAGATCCTTGGATTTATATGACTAACAAATTACGTTTTGAATATAACGTACCACACCATTGGCATTTAGTAGCTGGCAATTTTAAAGAATTCTTTTCTGCTCTTCTCCGATTTGATGTCTTATTTGTGCTCTTTCGGATTTGCAAGAGGTTTTGCAATATACTCGTTTCAACTTTATCAATCAATTTTGTGCAGTATTCTTAGTATTTGCTAATTTGTTTCTAAATGATTTTAATCTTCACCGATTGCGTGGTTAATAGGTTTGTTTGATTTGGAGGTGTATTTTTAACAATATTTCTATGATTGACTTGAACCTATGATATCTCGTTTATTTCTTTAATTAACTTCTATATAAAATTTTTTTTAAACATATATTGCATTCATTAGGATGATTGTCAGTAATACTATCAATTAAATTAATACAAACAGTAAGGTGACATAAAAATTTTTCTTCGGATTTAGTTTCATATATACAACTTGTGCATTTTAACGATTTACATTTCGTAGGACTTCCATTGGATTAATTATTTCTAAGTGCCGATTGATTGGCTACTGGTTTTATGGTGCTCTGATAATCTACATGGCTTGAGTAGATGTTGGTTTAAATGAATGCTTAGAAAGGAAGATTCATTAAAAATACCGTTTCTTTACGGTTATTTGGATTTGTGTTTGAAATATTTATGTAGAATGATCTTCACTCAATTGTTGTAATTCGTTTTACAAACAATGCAACTGTGTGAGATTGTAGATTCTTTATTTACTTGATCCTGCTCCTATGTATTTTTCTTAATATTTCAAATGTCTTTTGAAATTGGCAATCCAGTATTTTCAGCTTAATTTCTGTAACATAATATCAAAAGATTATTAATATATAAAAGTTATGATGGAAGTCTGCTATTTTAATTATGAATAAAAAAGATCAGTAGGGCCTGGACGGATATGACAAATAACAATAATGGAAAATGCACTAAAAAGTTTTACGAATTAAATTATGAACAAGTAAAGCATTGTTATAGATCACAAAAGAAAAATATTTAATTTCGCATTGTATTTCAATCCCTATTAAAATAATAAACTCGCCCAAATACTGCAAGTGTCGTATATTTTGTAAGTTAGTTGTGCATATTTTGAAACTACATATTTATATCTATAAAGTATTCTAAATTTTAGAATAACACAATATTGGCAGACTTATGTTTTTCGGTGTTCAATCAAACACGGCAATATTGCTACTAAAATTGATTCAATTTATTTAAGCCTGCAAATATCCATAAACAGAAATAATGTTAGACATAGTATGAATAATAGTGAGAAAAGAGAAAAAAAGGTTAAATAAAGTATGTGTTGCATAATACAGAATGTAAATATTATATAAAAATTAATTGCATTATTACTAATTTCTAATAGAGTTGGTCTAGGTTATCGGGACCCAACCTGGTTGTCTAAGGTCAAGTGTAATGGGTAAGTGACTAATTGGAGAAGAAGTGACTAGTCGAATCTAACACACACACGATACTATTTGATTATTTTATTAAGTTGAAAAAAGTACTCAAGGGGCTGATAATAAGCTGCCAGGGACTGCAGTAGATTGATGAGTGGACCCTTGATATTAATTATTTAGTATTTTTGACATTCAATGCCTGACTATAATTGGAAAATAAATAAAAGTGATGGATATCGGTTCATTATAAAATATAAAAGCTAATATACGGAATGATTTTTTCATCACGAACTAACAATTTTCAATCCTCTATTTTTTTATTGTTTTTATCATTATGAAATCGGGTTAGCTCTAATTTAAAACTAATTTTTACCCCTTTTCTACATACCCTAAATAAGCGTATACTTTTATTTTACAAATAAGAACCCCTTTTTCCGAACACATATTTAAGTGGACAATTTTCCTAGACATTTCGATATGCACAACATTAATATCAGATTTACCCTTTAAAGTTTAGACTGGAGGAGTAAGGAAGGGTATTAAATTGCATAAATATAACTCTCCATTACTCTTCCAGCCCAAATTTTATAAGGTAAATCTGATATTAGTGTTATGCATATCATAATGTCTAGAAAAACAAGGTCTATTATATATTATTAATTATTGTTTATCTATTAAATATATTGCATATAGTACAGGATATCCTGTGAAGAAATACCCATTGATGGAAATCTCCGGATTTAATAAAGATAATCACATTCTGTTTTTTATATTACTTACAAGGATAAAGACTACAAATATTTGTATTGCATTTAATTTTGTTTTCTTTGATAAAACACTTGAGAAAAAATAACTTTCCATTTTATTTTTTTTGAAAATTTGGAGAAGGGCATTTTACATTAATATTTTTTTTGACAATTTCGATGAATGAACTTTTTATTTTTGTTAAATTGGTGATTTTCTATGATTTTTTAAAGTTAAAAAAAAAACGTACCTATAATCATACAACAGACGGTTATCGTATTCTCCAATTGATTACTATTATTATTTACGCTTTATCGACTTATCGTACATTTCTTTTCTCTGAACTCAAAAAATTATAATATATCACGAATTTATTTAAAACAAATTTCCAACATTTTCAGAAGAATAAATTCTATGAAATTACTATGTTCAAATTATCCAATAATAATAAAACATTGTTTTTTTTTTCTTTTAATTTTTATTCATAACTTACGAAATTAATTGCAATACAAATATTTGTATCCCAGTGAGAAATATAAAAATACCAGACTTTTATAATGTTTATTATCTCCGGAGATATTACAACGGGTACATATTGCCGTGGGATACCCTGTCTCTATATTTATCTTGTAAATATTAATTTGTATTAAATGCACTTATTGCTAATTATTTACCTAGGTAGCGTTTATTAGTTATTTATAATGGCGTACTCACTTGTTTTTCTAAGATTTGATTTGATTTGATTTTTTGTAAGTCCGGGAAGTACAACTAACACACGTGACTCGTCGTTACAAGACGATCCGCCTGTACTCTTTGAAGACATTTCAGTGATAATTGTTCGGTTGGCGATTAGGTACAAAGTATGTGATCAATTTCTAAAACTAGAAATAATTATGTAAATGAACCAACACTAATCGGGTATGTCAATTTGTTCGTATAGTACACGAACAAATTGACATACCCGATCGTGTGCATCAGACGTATTACAACAATGGAAACAACAGTTACCGAAAAAAAGCCGAATTGAAACCAAGGGATTATATCACACGACCAATAAGAACGCAATATGCCACTATTGCCACCTATAGAAAACCAAAATCCGAAAAAGGCCACTATGGCAATAAATATATTTTTATTACCTTTTTTTTATCATCATTAGAACCTGGAATGATATGCATTTGTGTTTTTGTTTTCTTTGACAGTCCAAAAAGCAACAAAAGATAAGCTACAAGTTTAAATTATAGTCAATAGAACTGAAATATAAAGTTTTATTTTGCATATTTTACGATTTTTCATTGCATACAAATAGATTTTGAATGCACATTATATAATATTTTGGTTATATTTATATTAGTTTTATCATAATATAAATAAAATGAAAATACAGAATTTTTTTTTAATACAATTTTGTTATACGCCGTTCTATTGAAAAGAATTTATGTAAAGCTCTTCACTTTGAGAAAAGGCATAAATTCAATACAAATCAATCTTTTGTATCTACTTCAAAATCAATTTTTATTTGTGCATAAGTTTTTTTTTTTAAGGGGTATATTTTTACAAAAAATCATCACAAATGCATATCTCTAAGGTTTTTAGACAAGATTAATCCGGGCACAAATGATCAGTTTTTAAATATATTTATGCATTATTAATTGATAAGAAGAACTCTCTTTCCCAGCACAACTTCCGCTTTAAAAGCATAGTGCAATATTGTATTATTTTATTAAAATTATATAATTTATTCTATAATGTTCTGTTACAATAGAGTTTATAATTATTAAAACAAAACTTCTTGAGCCAATATTTTGAATTACTTGAGTTTATACTATTTATTTGTGCAATTTAAAAACATAATTTGTATATATTTAAAACTAACAAAATTACAGAAATATGCTTTACATTTTAGAATAAAACAATATCGGCAAACTTATATTTAATTTATTTAAGTCTGTAAATATGCATTAACAGAAATAATGTTGGAGATAGTATGTATTATAGGGAGAAAAAGGTTAAATAAAATAATTTTTATACATTACAAAATGTAAATATTATATATTAATTAATTACATTATTACTAATTACTAATAGAGTTGATCTAGGTTATCAGGACTTAACCTGGTTGTCTAAGGTCAAGTGTAATGGGTAAGTGAACAACTGGAGAAGTGACTAATCGAATCTAACACACACACGATACTATTTGATTATTTTATTAAGTTGAAAAACGTACTCAAGGGGCTGATAATAAGTTGCCAGGGTCTGCAGTAATTGTACGAAAAATCGCTAAATACAGAAATATGCAGTAGACGTCAAAAAAAAGTAAAATATACAAAAATAAACTTTATATTACAGTCTAATTTACTATAATTAAAACTTGTAGCTTATCTAGAAACTATAATTGGACTGTCAAAAAAAAAAAAAAAAAAAAAAAAAAAAACATGTAAATCCAGGCACTACCGATCATTTATATTTCTAATTGAAATAAAAGACTTTCATCATAATTATAAAATATTAATAATCTTTTGATATTATGTTACAGAAATTAAGCTGAAAATACTGGATTGCCAATTTCAAAAGACATTTGAAATATTAAGAAAAATACATAGGAGCAGGATCAAGTAAATAAAGAATCTACAATCTCACATAGTTGCATTGTTTGTAAAACGAATTACAACAATTGAGTGAAGCTCATTCTACATAAATACTTTAAACATAAATCCAAATAACCGTAAAAAACAGAATTTGTAATGAATCGTTCGTTCTAAACGTTCATTTNACAATGAACCAGACATATAAAAAAAAATGGTTCATATTACTAATAAAATAAACGGTTCTTATTAATATCTGCTTATTTGAAATAAACAGCAGTTACAGTGAGTTACCTTACCTTATAGATTGATAATTAATTTTTAGCAGTTGTTACTGCTATCTGCAGCTGTACCATTAATTAGGAATACTTAATCAATGCTGCTACTTGCTGTGACTAGTGACTACTATCAATTTAAGAAAATGTTGAAATATTACATTATATTATTATGTCCACATTAAATCAATAAAACCTATAGGTACCTCTATATTTTAAAATAGCCATCTCTAATAAGATAACTGTATCGTTTATTCCAGATAGACAGGTACTGATAAGAATCGTTTATTTTATTAGTGATAAAAATCGTATTTTTACTGTTTGGTAATAGAATCACTATGTATGACTGTTTAGTACATACTTAATAACAGTATAATATTTGATTACGATGATAAGTGATAGCTATTTATGTAGTATATATATGTGTATATATATAGTACCATATATATATGGTCAAACCCTTTGAACTATGATACTATAATTATTGATATACTTACGTCATAACGTTATACAATAATAATATTTTGAGATAATATTATGTGTATAGGTACAGTAACACAAACATTTTCGGTTGTAAACTCATGGCCATGGGTATATTTACATCATTTTTGATGTTTATGATATTGCATATTATTATGTATAATGTTGTTTGTTATTATTGTTCATATTGATAATACAACAATATACGTATACAAATGTACAGGTGAACTCATTATTATAATCATTTCGTTCGTTATGTATTTGAGAATTTTCGTACATAAAGAAAATGTTGCTTCTGTAAAAAAAAAATTGAATACCGTAGGCACTTATACAATGAATTAATAACTTTATAGTAAAATAAATTAAGTATAATCCAACTGTTTTTTTGGTAGGTTATTGTTTAGTTCTAAAACAATCTAACTACTTATTATTGGTGTAAATTTAATTCGTGTATATTATGTTGCCTATACCCAATATTAAGTGAGACTGTGCAAAAACGATTTTTAAATCATGAATAATTTGTATATTACTACAATTATTATGATGATCATTATATTATTATCATGATGTAAGCAGTATTGAGACTTATCAAGATAATGTTTTATTCGATATTTCAATGTATGTAAAAAAATATATTTGAATGTTATTCAGTGGTGTAAAAAATAATTATCTTTTTATTTAGAAAAACTTAAACCTAAATACAATGGTTTACCTACTGTAGCAATTATTAAATAATTGTACAGATTCTTAAGGTTTATTTAAAAAAAAAAAAAACAAACGGACATACTTCGTACGATGGGTGGGCTACTATTGCATGGGTGAAAATTTGGAAATTTAGAGTGAAAATTGAATGTATATCTTTACGCAAAGAATAATCATAGTTAAAGAAAAACGATTCTGAGCGGAATTCTGTTACAAACATTAATACAATAAGTAAATTTTCCGGTTTTTTCCATTTATTTTGAAGGCCCTCGAGAAAATCAAAAAATTACCTCTTTAAAGTACTACCCCAATCCAATTTCCATTCAGAAAAAGTACTGCATTTGGAAATCGGAGCAAAATTCTGATATAAAAATTATTCACAGTAAAAACTAAAAAAATAATATTTTAAAACCAATACATTCCTCGCTCAGCTAGGAATCTAAAAATTGTTAATAATGCAAAGTTTATAGCTAGTATCACAGCGTGCCTTTTGTATTTACCAAATTATATTAGCTGTTTAAATTTGTAACACCCTACTATATATAAACTTAACAACATGTTTTTTTTGGTTCCAGAGAAGGTAACTATTGGAAATGGAGCTGTCTAATTATTGGTGTTATTGTAGAATGCCCTTTAAATATTTCGGTATGAAATTGTATGACATGCAATAACTGTAATAATGTCAATATACAGAGAACAATTTAATGTACGCGATTTGTTTCAAAAGAAATATAATTCGTATTTTGTATCAACACACTCAAACGTTTTAAAATAAATGTTGTGATGTGTTCAAAATTATACAAAATCGCACCAAAATGTGTATATAATCTTTTACAAACGAAAAAAAAGCGAGATAAGTCTCAAAAAATAAAATACATCAATAAATTATAATCATTGAACAAGTAAAATAAAAATAAAATTACACAATTGCATTTAAATTTAAAATTAGAAAAATTAAAACATTTTTTTTTTTTTGTATTTCAAATTTGAATATTTATTCAGTTATACCTATTATATATGGAGATGGGGCATAGATAATTTAAAATAATTGCATTAAAATGGTTTTTAAAGTCGTTCTCTCAATATTTCTTTCCATATTATTTAACATAGTATTGTATTAAAAACCTACACAATTTTGACAATAGGTTTTTTTTGTAAAATTTATCGTAGACATATTTCGAGTAAACAAAAAAAATATGTTCTTGATGTAGGAGATTTTTTTTTTAATGTCACGGGAGATCATTCGAGTGTTCGTTTGGCGTTTTGGACTGACCGTATTTGTACGATTATATCGTACATTAAAATCGAGCATATCGCATATAAATTATATTATGGTAAAATAAATTAAATTGATAATGGAAATATACTAGCGGGTGACAAAAAATGTGTACACGACTAACATTCATATTGTCAACGTTAATTTTTAACTATAGCTGTTTCTGATGGTGAGGTGACATCATCTCGAAATACACGTGTTGCGGGGTGTTCAATGTTTTCATGCCGTTTAATTTACTAAAATCGTCATGTGGTACCTATTATTATTTTTAATTCAAACTGTGTCGAGTCGGAACACAGTAAAACATTTTCAGTATTTCAGTTGAAAATTATGTGGGCCGCTAGATTCTATTTTTTTAAGCCGATCAGATCATGCATAACTGTCCCTGGTAATTTGTAAGTTTATTGTCGAAAAAATACAGAAACATATTAACATTTTTAACGCCAATTTATGAGAACACATTTTTTTTTTCACAACGCACTGGAATTTCGAGCTGCACACTTTATATTTTGTACTGTAAACTTTGGGCTTTAAAAATCATTATTTTAGGCCTTGCTGGCCGAGAAAATAAATTCTGGAATGGGATTGATATTTAAAAATAACAACTGCTATTTTGCCGAGTCTCAAAATATTATGACGCTCTTTTGAAACGTAGCACCCGTGCCGAATGCCCGCTCCCTAGACCCCCCACTGATTCCCTCTATTAATCATACAGCAATTAGGTCTCTGAAATTCAAATTCTGAAAAACAAATATTTTTTTTACGAAAATGACAAGCATATAATATATTATTTCGTTACTTTGGTTTTCACGGAAAAGAAAAACAAACATTTATATTATAATAGTATTTGATGTAATTTACTATGATAAATAATCAGCTTCCTTGTTGTATTTGCAGAATCAATCAGAATCTAATATAAATGATAAACTTTATTGATTATAAAAAAGTATTAGCCATTAAATAGATTATTATGGGAAATCAATATGATTAAGAAACATAAAAAAAAAATAACAATAAATTAATTTAATCTTGAAGATATTAATTATTAAGTTGTTATTGTCTTCAAAATTGTAATATGTTACGAAACAAATTAAAAATCTGTTTAAAATAATAATTAATTTAATCCAATCAATATTATTTATTAAGTTTTGAAATAATAAATTAATACCCTGATAATTATACGCATAGGTTGGATAAAACTATTTAAAAATATTTAATATTAAAACATAGATATAGGAAAATAGAAATAAAAATAATATTTTAACAATGTAATGGATTTCTCTAAATCGTTCGCAGTTTGCAATTTGCTCAAACTAAAATCTAACTATATTAACTAATTAGAATATATAAAAATATTAATCAAATATTAACTATGCAAAATGTCTAATAGAAAAGTTGTTCACAGATAAAAAAAAAAAAGAGATTCTCAACGAAGTGAGGAATGAATTTGGATAAAATTTTTTTCTTGTTTTTTATTTATTTATTTTATTTATTATTCGTTTTAACTATTATTTTATTTTATTATCTGGCACGCATGCATAGAATATATGATAAAATTCTTATCCGTTTGTATAATCTTGATCTTTGATTAGATATAACAAAGAATGTTGTGTATTATTTGATAGATAGAAAATCTATAGTTTATTTGTTATATATGTATGAATATCATTATGGACAAGACAACTAACAAATCGTTCTTTTAGCAGCGCGGTAGGCACTAGGCGGCACGTGGCACGTGGGCCAAGTCCCGCGGAGAGGAATAAACAATCCGCTAAAACTGTTTTTCTTAAACACGGTTTTTTTATTTTCATTGTTTATCCAAGTGTCCGAACGCAATCTATATTTATGATGTATTTAGTATATTTGGTGTAATTATACAGTATTATACAATTGTATGTATTTTATTTTATTCTATAAAATAATTAAATAATGTTATATAATAATTGTGGATTTAAAACAAACTGTCACAGGTATTTATTTTTTACTCAATAATATTACTGCGAGAAAGAGTTGAGACTTAAGTATTTGTTTATTTTTATGTTTAGATTCTGAGCGAATATATGGAATATGGGCTTAACTAAGATGTGTGTTCATGATCATCATCATGTTCATTCATGATATTTAAAATTGTAGTTTTGTTTTGTGTATAAACTTCTTTTCTACCAGAAATCTTGTTCCAATGAAAAAATAACAGGCAATATTTTTTGTTGCATTTTCTAGTTGGTGTACTGAAAATTTATTTTTTTTCAATTTTTCAATAGGTTTTCATAACAATTGGGAAAAACGGGAAAATGTATAACATTAATGGTTTCATTTTTTCGATTTTGGTTTTGTTATTATCAGTCTCGTAGACACCTGACATATTCATAGAATATTGTTCGCTTTTATTAGTCTAGTGTAGGTTTGGAAAAATGTCCATAATATTTTGGCGAGTTTTTAGCTATTTATAAGAATTT